TTATGCCAAATAAAACCAGCTAATCTTAAAACTGCCACAGATGCTTTGTTATTTCCCTAAAAATTACTCTGCCTAAGAGGCTTTTTTTTTTGGTAGGGAAAAGGAAACATGGAAGCACCTCTCCCCCTTCATGAATGGGAAAGCAGTTGGGGAGAATGTTTTTGTCCAGAAACTAGCATTAGCACAAGCACAAAAGGATGTATAGACACCTTCAAGCAATCCTTGACTGAACCAGATTTTTGTTTTAGAAGTAAAAAATGTTATGGCATCTTAAAGACTAAATGCTATATTTAATGTGAGGTTCGGTGGACAAGTCGACTTCCTCAGATAGTGAAGATGTCATAAGTCTGAAGAACTGAACTTGCCCACAAAAGCTCACATTAAAACATAGCAGTTAATCTTTAAGGTACCACGACGCTTCTGTCTTATTTTCATTTTGTTTTTGTCTAACAGTTTTTTGTTTGTTGAATCTGGACATGCTTCAGTAGCTCCCAAAATATGCTTAGTACCACAATGCCAGGATTGTTTGCAGTGTCTCAGAGGCTACTGCATTTCATAAAGCTCCACAGTCTTATCTTTCCAGGATAGACTGTGTGTTCACACATATATTCTGTTTTTCAACCAGCTAAAATAGAAAATATCTCAATTCAAACTCCTGTCCCATCATCAAAGGTGATTTCTAGTGTTAGACATAAACACATGCCAGGGCTATTTGTACTCTGTTGTCTACTTTTGTCTTGCCTTCTGGAACTGGCATCTACCATCATCACTTTATCTCACAGTAAGGGCTCTGCTGAAGGAAAGTCATACAGTGACTTACAATAGCACTCCTCTGGTACTCCTCTGGTAATATAAGACAGCTGTAATATGTTGCTGTTTTATCATCTTCAATTTTTTAAAACCTAAATGTTTGCACAGAAAATACCAAAGGTATCAAAACACAAAGTTCCAATATTCATTTTTTCCCTCTAGCGTCTCCAGGGTCAGTCATCAGAGACACAGTGTCATATGACTGAAGAGGCTCAAAGTTGCACCAATGAAATTACTGTCAGCTGGATACATTGTTTGCTACAGAATCGTATAGAGGGTGAAGATTAATGGCTCCTTCCCAGACTGGGTGTTGGTAACGAGTGGGGTACCCCAGGGCTCAGTCCTGGGCCCAGCGTTACCCAATATTTTTTATTAGTGATCTGGATCATGGGATACATAGAATGCCAAACAAATAGGTACCCCAGGGCTCAGTCCTGGGCCCAGCATTACCCAATATTTTTTATTAATGATCTGGATCATGGGATACATAGAATGCTAAACAAATATGCAGATGAGACAAAACTGGGTGGAATAGCCAACAACCTGGAAGACAGAAACAAAATTCAAAAACGATCTGGACTGGCTTGAGTACTGGGCTGAAAACAACAGAATTAAATTCAACAGGGGTAAGTGCAAAGTACTGCACCTAGGAAAAAGAAACAAAACACATTTACAAGATGGGGGACACCTGACTCCGCAATAATGCAAGCGAGAAGGATCTTGCAGTTTTTCTAGATCACAAGTTGAATATGAGCCAATAGTGTGATGTGGCTAAAAAAAAGGCGAATTCTATTTTAGGATGCATTAACAGAAGTATAATCTCCAAATCCCATGAGGTTCTAGTTCCACTCGATTCAGCACTAGTTAGGCCTCATGTTGAGTATTGTGTCCAGTTCTGAACACCGCACTTCAAGAAGGATGCCAACATATCTGAACAAGTTCGGAGGAGGGCAACAAGGATGATCAGGGTGCTGGAAACCAAGCCCTATGAGGAAAGACTGAAAGAACTGGGCATGTTTAGTCTTGAGAAGTGATGACAGAGGGGAGAAATGATAGCACTTTTCAAATACTTGAAAGACTGTCATACAGAAAAGGGTCAGGATCTATTCTCAATCATTCCTAATTGCAGGACACGCAACAAGGGGCTCAAATAACAGGAAGCCAGATTTCAGTTGAATATCAAGAAAAACTTCCTGTTAGAGTAGTACAGCAATGGAACCAATTAGTTGTTGTGGGTTTTTCGGGCTCTTTGGTCGTGTTCTAAAGGTTGTTCTTCCTAACGTTTTACCAGTCTCTGTGGCCGGCATCTTCAGAGGACAGGAGTAGCATTCTGGTGGGGCGTGCTCCAACAATGGAGGCAATGGAGGCAATTTCAAGAGAAATTTAGACAACCACCTGGCAGATCTCCTTTGACTTGGATTCCTGCACTGAGCAGGGAGTTGGACTCATTAGCCTTATAGGCCCCTTCCAACTTCATGATTCTACGATTCTATTCAACTGTTGTTTTGCTGTTCTGCATGTTTCTGAACTGAAAAGTATTGGTCCACTAGCATCTCTTGGATAGCTCACACATTTTCTCTCATTAGATCATGTTTTTGTTGTTAAGTGCCATCAAGTCAGAACAGACTTATAACACCCCTAATAAGGTTTGCAAGGTAAGTGAGATATTTAAGGAGTGGCTTTGCCAGTTCCACATCCCCAGTGAGTTTTCATGGCTGAGTAGGGATTTAAACCCAGGCTTCCTGAATCCTAATCCATCACTCTGTCCACTACACTACACTACACTACACTACACTACACTACACTACACTACACTACACACTAGGTATCCCAATTAAATCATACTACTATAAAAATACAGCTTGCTGATTTCCTGTCTAAGAACAAAACCCTGGAAAAGCACAACTATCTAGCCATTCTGTCAAAGCATCTATCCTCTTTATATTTGGAACAAAATGAAATATGCCCCTTGAACATCTTTATCAAGGCCAAATACAAAGATGAAATACCAGTTTTACAAACTGCGTATTGCTACCTTGAGTTTGTATTATCATTCCTTTTCTCAAGTGCCATGGATAGAGTCATCCAGAGCTCCCACACTATCTACGTACAAGAGATCTTGGAGAAGGCAGAGTCATCCAGAGCTCCCACACTATCTACAAGAGATCTTGGATAAGGGGAACATGTAGCCCTCTTCCACTTGTAGCAGACAAAATTCGAAATCATCATTCTTCACCACTAGCTGTAATACCTATCCTTTCAGCAGATGTCATTCTGATTTCTTTCCTTTTGTAATACTAACTCCTCAACCAGTGACCCTTAAGTCTTTATTCAATTCTTCCTCAGAAACATAAATCTCCGTCTTTATCTGAGCCTGAAAAGACTGATGAAATACTATTATCAGACTCTGAAAAAGTTCTATTTAAACAGTATGATTAGGACTGACCCACCACACACCCTTCTCCTGTCTTTCAAGGATAAAGCTCAATGCTGTTTCTTGGAACTCATGTTCAGCTTTTCCTTTAAAAATAACAATAAAAAATAAAAATAAAACCACAATTTCTTATCTGGCCACCTACCAACCCAGCAATCTTCAACAAAACCATTTTCAAGAGGTCACTGGAGTGACGGTCTTGCCCTTTCTGCGAAGTAAATGCAGAACTTTTACTATTGTTTGTAATGGTAAATTAAACATTGGAATATTGAAAGCTCACCCTCCACTCTGTAGGAGTATGTTTAGTCATCTTATCCATGCTAATCAAGGCAAGGAGAGATCTCAGATTAGCAACAAGGTTTAAGGAAATACAATGCTTCTCTCTCATCATTGAGGAAAAAAAACACCTTGAGTTACCAATATTACCAACAGCAAGGAACTAAATATTGAGAACAAATAAACAAATGAACAAACAAAAAACCAAAGAAGCATCCCCCTTCTTTTAATGAGAAGAGATGAATCTGATCACAGAGGTCAATCTCGATTCCTGGGAACTGCTTTATTAGCCTGCCCAGAATCAAACGAGACCATTCATCTTCTTTTAGTTGCAGTGCACGATGAGCAGGGGATGGTTTTAGCCTTTTCCTAAACCGTGAAAAATCTCTTCTTTAAACTCTTGACTGGATCAGGGATCTTGGCTCTAGATGATGATGCAGAAAAGGATCCAGGCCTACAGTGGTAGGAAGCTGACCGCTACATGACCTCCTGGAGGTATGTGATTTACAATGCTCCCACAGGACTCCTTTTTTGGGAGAGGGAGAACAGCGCGAGTATCTGTATTTCTCCACAAACTGGACAGACTACAGAAATAATGTAATCTCTGACTGACATATGACTAGTCACTGTGGAAGCAGAATATTGGCATAGGCAACCCATGGTGATCCAGCATGTTTTTTGTGACATAATCACCTATTCTCCCTGTAGAGAAAAAACTTCTTTTCTCACCATATTCCTTGATGGGGAAAAAGGGAGGAGGAACGGACATATTTTTAAGATATGGGAGGACATGACAAATCATTACTTTCACCATCTGCTGCAGATGGGATCCTGTAAATTCTTCAGAGCTTCACCTCTTGAGTTGGGGTAAAATGAGGAATAGTCAATGACCCAAGGGAACAGTATCTGAATCTTGGGTTTTGTGATCAGGTTCCCGCTCTGCAATTTGGTCAATTTCTCTCTCAGTGGTAGCAGAAAACTACCGAGACAAAGAGTTGTTGGGGAACTGTACCAGTCTTGGCGAGGTGCATGTGCAGTGGCAACCTAAACATACTATTCAAGCCAGCAGTGGTGTGGCTAGGGACAAGCAGTGTGGTGTGAGTTCTGAAGTAAAAAGATAATTACAGTCACTCAAAGTGGAAAAGCTGAAGGAAACACCCCTTCAACCTTCTACTGCTCTCCCTCTTTAATTAGCTCCATGGGAAAAACAATTGTGTGTCCACTCACTACAAAAGCAAGAAATTATCTGTAAGATGTGCCCTCCTGAGCCACACATTACAGTCACAACTTAGCTGTGATTCTGCCCTGGGGTGAGAATAAATATTTACTATTTCATCACAAGCTTTTGGAAATTATATGGATTTCTTAAGCATTCTGATATTACCTGAATTGAGATAACCAGAACTGAAATGATTAAATATATATTTATTCGATAATATTGAAGTAAGCTCTAGACATTCAAACGATTTAAAATACTCACCGGCTATTGTGAGCTTAGCTGTTCTGCTTACGATGGTCCCAAGGCTTTCCACAGTTGCAACACACTGATAATGCCCTTCATCAGGCTTATTGTGCTTTGAATGCACTACACTGTTAATTAATAAAGATCCATCTGGTAGCAGCTGGCGCCGGTCATCTGAAGCCAAGTTCAAAAAAGTCCCATCCTTTTTCCATTCAATTTTTGGAGACGATTCACAATAAGCTGAACAATTCAGTATAACAGAAGAAGCTCTAACTGACAAAGTGTCCACTGGTTCTGTGACAAAATAAAAGGGAGTAAAAGTCCTCACAGTGGGTCCTGTAAAACACAAGAGAAATGAATATTTATTAACAGCTTCTTAAAATTTCAAAATATTACCTTGATAATAGTTTCGTGTTGTTCCTTACACTCTTAAATGCTGTCAGAAATCTAACTTTTGTACTAAACATTTGAAATAAAAAATACACCCCCGTGTTCTACAACCACAGATACAGCATCTTACACACAAAGACTAGATCAACAGAACAAACCATAAATGAGGGTCAGAAGCTAAGAAGCAACTTCAAGGCATCTCAAGGATTTGCATTCACCCAGACTCATTTCTGAACTTCTTTCAATGTATGTTCCCTTCTATGTGGTGAGTAATTACTGATTTTTAAAGATCCATTAAAAATGAGGTGCTTTAAAGGCGAATCAAATTTAGTGCAAACAAAGCCAGGCCACAACTCCAACCCTACTGAGGCTTTCAGTAAAATTCTAACCTGTGAGCAGGGGGAACAGAATAGTCCAACTCCCCTCTCTCCCAGCTCTCTTCTATTGGAGAGCAGTCTTTACCCATGGGTATCCCTTCATATGCAGGAACCCTCATTTTTCAGGGTTTCCTGTTGTGTGGAAACGATTCACCCCTTCAGATTTAGCTCTCTACATGCAAGAGTTTCCCCGGAGAAGTGCATGGCTACCACACTCACTCTGCTCTCAAGCTAGGATGAATCCTCTTACTGAAAACCTGACCAGCATTTCTGTCGAAACTGAATACGTGACCATCAAACTCACTGAGTTAAAGCCTACTTTCCAACATAACAGAGAAGCCTGGGGGAAATAAAGACGGTGTGGTGGCGCTGTGGGCTAAACCGCAGGAGCCTGTGCTGCAGGGTCAGAAGACCAACAGTTGTAAGATCGAATCCACGCAACGGAGTGAGCTCCCGCCGTTTGTCCCAGCTCCCGCCAACCTAGCAGTTCGAAAGCATGCAAATGCAAGTAGATCAATAGGGACCAGCTTGGTGGGAAGGTAACAGTGTTCCATGTCTAAGGCGCACTGGCCATGTGACCACGGAAGATTGTCTTCGGACAAAACGCTGGCTCTATGGCTTGGAAACGGGGATGAGCACCGCCCCCTACAGTCGAACACAACTGGACAAAAATTGTCAAGGGGAACCTTTACCTTACCTTGAGGCCATCTAGGTGGCCACTAGATTTAGATGGCCTAAATCCAACACAATGTTAGCCCAGTGAAAATGGCAGTAATTGTGGCAGATTATACCACAAACAAGTGACCAAAGCTGTATTTGGATAACAGGTTGGCACTACTTCTGAAAACATGTAACCTCTATGACGGGGGACTGTCATGATACAATGACTGCACTGAATACAGGGCAAAAATTATAATCACACATTTATTATGACAATAATAAATAGAAGTCAGCAGCCAAATAACATAGCAATTTACTTTCCAATTCTAGGAGCTCATAGTATTGTGCATGTTCCAGGTTCTTGCATGACACCATTAAGAAGATCCATTCCAGTCTGGTTTCAGGACAGAAACTGTATTAGTTGCTCAGGATGACTTATGCTAAACACTATATAAGGAGACAGTGTCTTTATTGGCTTCCACAGACCTCTCAGTAGTTTTCAAAGGCAGTGACCATGGTATATTTTCAGACTGTCTCTCTTTCATGGGACTTGAATTTATAATCCTATGGTGTAAAACAAAGGTACTGCAGTTTGGAAAATCTGCTACCATTCATATGGGGAATACAGTCTCTCACATACTAAAGGGAAAAAGTCTCTCTCTCTCTCTCTCTCTCTCTCTCTCACACACACACACACACACACACACACAAAATTACAAGTACAAGACTAACATGTCCAAGACTGAAGAAAGTAAGACTACAATATCAGACTACATATAACTGGTTTCAACAGCCTTTACTGTTTTGTTAGATTTACCTGTATCCATTCAGACAGATCAATGTCTTTATATGCTGAGGGACAAATGAGCATCTCCTATTTATGGATTCCCCAGCCCCCAGAGCCACATGGCTGACCTATTGACTTCAGAGTGCCAGGATGTTTGGCTCTTGGTTTAGACTAAGAAGAAGCTTCTTATGAGTTATGCTAACCTCTCACACTGAAAATGAACGAGACCAACATTTTAAAATTAAGCAACATCTGACTCCTAAAAATCCAATACGCAATATGCTCTGTACTTATCCTAGAAAAGCTTTATCCCTCCTTACAACCCAGGACTGTCTTACAAGAAATAAAATCACTTTGTAACTATATTTGCAGCATTATATGAGAATGTTGTTGCTTTTTACACAAAGTGTCCCCCAAGGTATTTTAGACTTTGTACAATTTATTGCAAGGGAAAGACAACAGAGCTGAGTAATTCAAGAACAGCTGTAGCTTTACCAAGGAAATTGTTCTCTGTCTAAATATCTTCTACAAACACAGAACATTCAGCTGCAAACAAGCCAACAATTTAAAAAATGGTTTTCAAAAATAGCAAGGAAGCATTCTGGAATGCAGTTGCAGATTTATCTCCAAATGACCCAGATTCACCTTCTGCAGTACTAGAAGGATGGAATACGTGGAAGTGAGCAAGACTTGTTACATGCTGCCAAGTCATTTCTAACCCATGGCAACTCTATGAATGAGAGATCTCCTAAATGCCCTACCCTTAACAGCCCTGCTCAGCTCTTGTAAACCCAAGCCTATGGCTTTCTTTAGGGAGTCAATCCTTCTGGTAATTGGACTTCCTCTTTTCCTGTGGCCTTCAACCTTTCCCAGAGAACCTTGCTTTCTCATAATGTGCTGAAAGGAAGGACATCCTTGTGTGGGTGTTGTGCTGTCAAGTCAGAACCAGCTTATAACAACCGTAATAGGGCTTACAAGGCAAGTGAGATATCTAAGGAGTGGTTTTACCAGTTCCATTCCCCCAGTGAGTTTCCATGGTCAGGTGGGGATTCAAACCCTGCTCTTCAGAGTCCTAGTCCATCACTCTACCCACCACACCACATTGGAAAATTCTTAAGGTGATCACTTTTGCCTCCAGAGATAGTTCAGGCTTGATCTAGTCTAGGACCCACTTGCTCATCTTTCTAGCAGTCCAGGGTATTTATTTACAAATCTCTCCTCTAGTACCAGATTTCAAATAAATCATTTTTTTTCCTGCCAGCTTTCTTTGGTGTCCAGCTTTTACACCCATTTCGTGATTAATCATTTTTTTTCCTGCCAGCTTTCTTTGGTGTCCAGCTTTTACACCCATTTCGTGATCAGAAACATAAGAAGAGTGTGGATGATCTTGGTCTGTCTCCAGTGACACATCCTTAAAATTGATGATCTTTTGTAATTCCTTCATTGCTGTCCTTCCAAGTCTCAGTTTTCTGGTTTCTTGGATGCAGTTTCCATTTGGATTGATGATTGGACCAAGACATAGAAAATCTTTCAGTATTTCAATGTTTTCATTGTCAACATTAAAGTTGTGTAGTTCTGCATTTATGGTTTTTATCTTCTTAACATTGAACTGCAGTCCTGCTTTGGCACTTTTTACACTTTCACTAAAAGGCTTTTCAAATCATTGCTGCTTTCTGCCAGTAAGATGGTGCCAACTGCATATCTTTAATTATTTATGTTTCTTCTGCCAATTTTCACTCCTTCTTCATCTGAATCTAGTCTGGCTTTCTGTATATGTTCTGCATGCAGATTGAAAAAATAAGGGGATAAAATGCACCCTTGTCTGACACCTTTGCCTGTCAAAAAACATTCTACCTCTCCATATTCTGCCCAAACAGATACTTACTGCCTACAATACAGGTTAGCTATCAAAACAATCAAGTGCTGAGGCACACCCACTTCCTGCAGAACAATACTTTCTCATGAACCACACTGAAGTAACTTGCAAGTAGCATTTTGCAGTATCTAGCAATATTAGATACTACAAAATGGTGCGTCATATTCACTATTCAAGAATTTTATCAAAGGTAGACACGTTAATCTATTTCAACAAAAACAAGAAAAAGTCTAGCTGAACCTTTAAGACTACAGTAACTGGTTTTACATTTCATAGACTACAGCCTACCTCTCCTGATGCATGAAGCAAAGCCTCATAAGACAGGGGTGCAGAGGAATGAAGACAAAATGTAGTGGAAATGTAACAAGTTTGGCAATTTTATGCTACCGAGTAGACACGTTAATCTATTTCAACAAAAACAAGAAAAAGTCTAGCTGAACCTTTAAGACTACAGTAACTGGTTTTACATTTCATAGACTACAGCCTACCTCTCCTGATGCATGAAGCAAAGCCTCATAAGACAGGGGTGCAGAGGAATGAAGACAAAATGTAGTGGAAATGTAACAAGTTTGGCAATTTTATGCTACCGAGATTTTTGTAGTGGAAATGTAACAAGTTTGGCAATTGTATGCTACTGATAAAGAATTTTGTTTAATCATACTCTAGAAACAGGATACTCAATGCATACAACTCTCCTACAACAAAGAGGCTGGAATCACTTGTTAAATGGAGAGATACAATTGAGGAGTTTTTTGTTGCCAAAATCAGATGCTTGCAAGGGCAAAACTATTTGGATACAAGTAATATTCTTGCTTCATGACAATAAAATCTGCATATTTCTGAGAAATACAATTTATTCAGCTTCAGATTAAAGGTCCTAGTAAGCACAAGACTTTGTTTTTTATATGAACTGTGGTTCAAAGAATATCAGAAATCCAAAAATATTTATACATCTGTCTGTATCATCTGAAACATAGTATTGGCTCCCCCAAACACAGCACCTGAGATTTTGAAATATTACTTCCAACTAGGTGATGCACTTAGTTTCAGTGAGGTGCCTTTCACAAATTTCATGACTTAAAGCAGGGGTGTCCAACCTTTCACCTTTCCTGGGCCACATTAGAAGATGAAAATTTGGTTTGGGCCCCACATAAATTTGGTTTTGGACACAGGGGGGGCAACCCTAGCCATCCTCTGCAGCCCCGCTCCAAGCGCGCTTACCGGCAGCTGCGATCTCAGACAGCAG